CCTTCCATCCCTCATATTTCTTTCCTATATGATGAAAGACAGTTACCTGATATCAGAAAACACACTTTATTCATATCATCAGAATTTGGCAGTACCTCTCAGTATGTGCATCTACAGCTTGATGAAGAACATTAAAGCATAAACTTAGGATGTGACTTCCCGAACAGCATTAGCAGCAGTGCATGAATTACAACAGCAACTGATTATAATACTGAAAGAATTAAAGCTTTCATGGCAACTGAACTCAAAATATTCTCAGACAGCAAGCCATATCAGTTATGGACAAAAGCTTTTGTCCATAACAGACATGGCTTGTTACCTGAGATTTTAATGATACTGAAACATTGCTCTGCAAAAGCAGTGTCAAATATCTCATCAATGATTGATTTTGTTAAAGATGATTAATGAGTAACATGCAAATTTGTTTATAATAGGAAGTTGGTAGCATTTTTAACAGACCTCCATTTGACTTCAAATAAATCATCCTCATTTATAACTCTGCAGCCTGAGTCAATAAGCAAGGGTGATTGTCACCCCAGGTCTGGAAAAGGTTAAGAAACCCTGGTTTGGGTGAATAACTAGCAATAATTAATCAATAATCAAGGTCTATATTAACATACTACTCTGACTTCTTTTTAAAGAGAATAACGTGAGCAGTTTCATAAAACAGTATGTATAGAATCTGAGTACCCTTCTTACCTGCAACCAGTTTAAAGCCTGTTCTTGAACCTTAGCTGAAGTCTTCTTGAAACGCACAGCTACAAATTGGTACAATTTCTTTGCATCAAATCCAAGGGGACTCATGTCTGGATCCAGCATTTTACTGTAACACAAAGTAACAGAATTCTGTAGCTAAAAACACAAGACAGTAAAACTATAAGGTCACAATCCACACCATTCAATAAAAAAAAAACATTTACATTAAGAAATAAAAATTTAAAAAATTATGTTATCCATTTTTAAAATGTTTCAGGGAGTTTGCTGAAGAAAGAGCTAAATGGCAGATTTGCTGTGCGGCAATTATGTATTCAGGCAAACGAAACTAACATGATAATACTAGTATTTTATTTTTTCCAATTGCTTATTTGAGATACATAGTTACATTATAGCCAATATATCCCTTTCCTTTTAGATGAGAAGTTGTGAAACACCTTACAATGGCCTCATGATGGCACATGTGTGCCAAAATCTGTAGCCACCAAACAATATTGTTTTACAATAGAAGTTGTGTTGTTGGTAAATGATGTTAATACCCTATAACTGTTTAGCAGTGTGTATGATGGGCTAGGTGAAGTGGTTGTCTGGAAGATAAGAAAGGGACATGTGATGGAGACATTTTCAGAGAAGTAACATTTTAAATTTGGGTTTGCATAAGGAATAGGTTTGTGTAATAATACAGTTTTTGAATCAACTGATCTAAAAAATATCACAGATAGCAGCAGATAGGCAAATCAAATTTCTTGATATTAACTAGTTCAAGAGTGTTAAATAATGTTATTGGAATAAAGGGAAGTAAAACCCTAACAGCACATTATTTAATTTTTAACACTGTTCATGCAACAATTTTAAGTTCACTAGCTCTGCAATGCCAGTATGATACATACAAATTTACAAGAGATCAGCAGAAGTCAAAAGGGCAGTAACAACATATGGAACATGAAAAATCAGAAACAGGCACTTGTTCTTTGAGTTACTGGTTTCCCAATATTAGGTTGAACAGGATGTATGTGAGGGTTTCCTTTCATATTCGGGAAGTAACTAACAGAATTTACCTGATCTGAGCTGTTAATAAACAACTTGTACATAAATTGCAGCATGTGCCCTTCATCCTGTTCTAAAATAATACATAGCAGTATGATGATAATATAAATTTGATACTTACATGCAAATGCAAAAGCATAGATCAAATGTTGCAGCTACAGATGATTCTAAAAATCAAAAGAACACATATAACATCAAAGCATAATGTTAAATAACAATGCAATGACATAAATGACTACAGAGCATCCAGATTAGGGTAAGCAAATATCCTGTTTTTAATTGTTTGACTGAAAGGTCCTACTAGGCTGGAAAATTAAAACTGGTACACCAGTCCCATTCTGTCCTAGAGGAATATTTATAAAGGCACCTTCTGAAAAATGCCTTTAGAAATCTGGGAGATGAACTTTAAAATATTGTCTCTGATCAGCAACTACAACAGAAAAATAGAGCAACACAGCAATTTAGAACCACTCAATAAATCTGTGGTCATCTTGTTATTAAAATTTTCTTTAACCCATCATATAATTTCAAAAAAATTTCATGCATTAAGGTATAACTGCAACATTGTTTAGAAGCAAACATGATACATTAAATAAACAAAGACTCATTTTCATGTTCCTGCAGTCTGAGAAACCCATTTTCTCACTTTAAAAATCCCATCACCCTAATTTAAATAAAGAATTTAAAGTATTTTGTGATTTCACAATTGCCCCAATGCTCACAAACAGAAATGAGCCAATTACTAGCATCCAGGTTAGGGACAAAAATGCAAGACATACAAACTACATCACTGAATTCAACTCTCCTGAAAGGTTTCACAAGCTTGAATTGGAAAGAAGAAAGTAACTGAGTGGTAAAGATGAATTTCATAACACAGTAGAACAACATCATCTAAATTATCAAGTGTAATCTGAAAAAAAGATAGCAAGAGGCTCTTATTACACAAAAGCAATGCCAACCAATGCTTATATGACAACCTACAATGCATATCATTACGGTCTGCAATGAATTAACAACTAATTCAATAATGTATATATTATACTCACCATCATTCTTATGCAACCTAGCAACTGTATAAAAAGAGATAAATGATCTTACAGGCGTTAAAATTCCATGGAAAGTTATATGTTTGTAGCAGAACTAGTAATTTAAACAAATTTATTTTTAAAAAGTACCTCTTACTAACCTTAAAATAGACTATATTTTTAGCATCCTCAGAATAATCAACTGAAATTTTGTTTCATAATTTAAAAGCCATAAATTTGTAATATTTATTTCATCTTACCATATGAAAATACCAACATACTGCTCTCTAGATTCTGGAAAATTCTAAAAAATTAATTTCTACTTTGTCAAAAACAGACAGACATACATACCAACATCCATGTACACATTTCTGGCATGTGTACATATGTATTTTACAGTATCCTACAACTCTGTAATAAAGAAATTACCATACTTACTTCACTACAAGAGAAACTGATTGTACTTTCATTTTCGTCCAAAAATAAGGAGTCACGTTATCCACACATAAAGACAATGTTAAAAGAACTGATTCATAAATTCATGGAAAAACAAATTATAACTGTGACATACCTTATGAAATGAACATATCCATAAAACATTAACAAGATATTAAAATATTCCAAGAGAAGAAGTACATGTTACAATAATTTCAGAAGTAGTATGAATGTTACAATAACTGCATATATTAAACAAAAGTTTCATAAATTTCACAAATAACATAAATATGTGAGGCTACATGGCAGCAAGAGAGACTTGATGCATTTATTCTTACAAACTACATGTTTCCAGTTTTAACTAATGGTTATCAGAAATGCCAAACGGCCTAATAACGCCTGGCATCCAGGAAATATCACACTTCTGTATGGTGATACAGGAATGGTAGATAATTAGTACGTGCAAGTTGTACAAGAAAAATGTTGTGGTCCTAAAATGGGCTATTTATTATGAGGTGACTGGGAAATGGAGGGGGGAATTTTGTTTCAGCTGGAGGTATAACAATTTTATATAGAGGAGTAACAAAATTATTTTACTCAGGAACTTTCTCTACTGTGAAAAAAGGGTTATCTTATAGCTAGCAACTACAGTTAAGTTATCTAAGTTTTAAGCTAGAGGAATCACATTGCTTTTGTATATGTGAAGTGTTCCAATTTTGACACCTGCAGGTTTAAGTTAGTAGCTACAAGAACCACATAGCTTGAAATATGTGAAGTGTATTGCTATCATCAGTTGAAACATGTTTGACCCAAAGAAGACTGAACTTCTATCAACCTTCTGTACAAAGCTTGCTTGTGAAATCTTCTAAACACACATGCTGCAACATGTGGATGCAGAAAAATAATGCATGGACTGAAATCAAAAGTGGTGACAGACCTCAGCAAATTCTTCAATTCATGCTGTTCCTTCTCTGGGACATCATTCACAACAGCTTCCATCCAATGTGGCATTACATAATCCCAGATGTCAGAAGTAATGATTTCATATGGTACCAAGCTAAATAATCGGCTTAGGCCATCTTTTAGATGTGAAGTACGTGATACCAGCGTGTCCCTGTGAAAAGATGAGACATATGGAACAAAAACATTTCCAGTCTGAAATATCATCATTTATTTTGATTGTTCATTAATGCCCCCAGACCTCATAAATATAAAGGAGTGCTAATCACTCACCCTTGACATTTGGAGCCATATCTTGTAATTTCATTAAATTTCAAGTGCAACATTAACAACAACAAAAATTAGGTACCTTCAGAGAGGAAGTGAACATGTTTTTCAAAAATGCTGGTAACCACCTACACTGTGTCACAACCCAAAATACTACAGTCCACACTTTTACACTACTGTAAAAACTTCGGGTAATTTTGTGCTTGGTTTCCGCACTCCGTTAACTTACCAGTGGCCACCAACTCGAGCATAGTCAGGGGGATGAGGCAAGAGGCAAGACACAAACACCTTGAAGTGGGAGTTGCACACATCTGATAACCATCCACACACAAATTCTGTTTTCAGGCGTTCCAAAGTGCTCTCTTGATCTGTGTTGTGACAACAGAAATAGCCAACATAATCTATGGTCTATTATAAAAAAAAAAACCTGAATATAAAGCAGCTCTAAATAAATTAAAAACCTACATGAAATAAACATTTTACATTGTAAAATGGTAGAAGATATTCTCAACTTCAGGATCATAATGTTGAAGGCACACATCTAGTTGTTGGTTTAGGTTTCCCAACATCCTTTGAATTGTATCATGTGGCATGCTGTGCAGTACACATTTAACATTTTCCCATAGGTCCTGTAGATTTCTTGGAATATTAAAAAAAATTACCTGTTTTAGCCTGACATGCAGGCACCTGGTAGCGTAAAATTAGTTATTCAGTTCCTCTTTAAACTAGGCACCCTAGAAAAGGGCTAATAAAAACATAAATGTTGAAGTAGGTTCTTAAAATGAAATAAAATAAACAGAACTTCAATATGGTAACACATTCAACATAAGAAGTTTCTTCATAATTTGTGACATCTAAAAATGTAACCATTCAATTAGGCCTTAAAGTAAAATGGTTCATAAAATAAATTTAACCAAATCTAAATCAAAATGTGTAAATAAAATTTAGCGTGCATCTAACATACCAAGCATAAACAAAATCAGTCAGACAGTTTGGGTCCTGTTTCTAGCACAGACATATTATAGCTACTCAGTGATATTTGAAAGTAATTTTTTGAAATATACTTATAAAAGAAAAGTAAATATCACTAACACTGAATGTAAGCCTACATAAAAATATCTTCTAAAATTTGTCTCCTATTAAATTATCTGAAATAGAGATGAGAAAAATGTTGAAAAAAGAAGAGAATATTATCTAACCTTCAAAAGTATATGATGTGACGTCAAACCAGTGGAAAAGCATTGAAAGGATGCGTCCTAGAATCTCTGCTGGTGTGTCCTCGTGAGGAGTACACAATCCAACCAACAACCAGACACCATACCGACCAAGTAGTTGACGTTCTTCCAGGGGAATTGGATCCTCAGTTGTAATCACATTCAGAAGTGATGCTTTTGAATGGATATCTGTTGAATCCTTACTTGCAACCGAATTCAAGGGTTTTGCTTCTTTCAGCAGACTGAAAATTCATAAAAAATTTTGTTGGTATTTAAAGTAATTTCAAGCTCAAAAGGAGATAAGTGAAGGAAACTGATAACAGTTCAAAGATTACATAATTCAAGATGTTATACCTGACAATTGACTCCACCATATATGTTTGCACCTCTGCATCCATATCCCAGAGCTGAGGCAAGCTAGTGTGTACAATGTGGTCACCGCCACGTCGGTTGTTATGTCTGATGTTGTGGCATTGTTGACAATAACGAATTGGATGATTTCCATTGTAGCTGGCACATTCCGTTGAGAAGCAGATAGACACTGCATATTTATCAGAAGCTCGACAGTTCTGGCAAATGTAGAAAGCAATTTGTTTGTCAAAATAAAAATTAAATTTCTGCTGTACCATTATATTGTGTCCATTAACTGAAAACGGAGAATCCCTGTAGCTAGGTATTCACCTAAATTGATTAACTTTGAATTCATGGAAACCGTTTAAGAAGGAAATTGGTGTTTCAAGGAATCAAATTCCAGATTCCTAAATGTGTAGCAAATAGTTTGTTACATATATGCAAATTCTAATTAAAACATTTAACAGCGCACTATATAGTCCGAGCTATTGACACCATCCTAAATAAACGATAAATAAATAAACAAACAGACAATACTTCAAAATCTTAACAGAAGTGAAAACAGGATGTGCTAACAAATGTTTGCTGAGGATTCACAAAGAACAGGTACAATTTTGAATTTAACCCTTAACTTAATTTTTCCTTAAAAGACAGTGATAACTTCAATAAAAGATGGAGAAATGTTGTTTACTGAGGGACAGATAGACATACTGGTATAAGAAGTGGAATGGGTAAGAAATACATCTCACACAGACCCAGACCATCAGCCATCTTCTGACAGAAAAAAATTATTATGTGTGCAATTTTAACATAAATATCCCTTTGTTTATTTCTTTCGGTTTCAGTCCTGTGCATATCCAATACATCTAGAACATACATCATTGCTAAAGAACCAAGGCAAACATAACAACAGACTAACCTTGTTTTCACAGGTCATAGACACCTGCTGCATAGCATGCAGAATATCAAAAAACATTTGATTTGGATGTTCACGGTGAATTTCATTAGCACATTCAATGCAGAGGTAGAGTGGAGGCGGACTATCACTTGCAAATGTAATGGAGATGCAGTGATCATAACATACTTTGGCTGCCTCTGCATTTCCAGCATTTGGACACATGTCTCGCTGGCAGACGAATGGAACCAAGTCTGACATAGAAATTCCAGTATCAGTTATATTCCTATTAACTACATCTGTACATGTGTATGTCTGGTGTATGTTTAACCAAAGTTTTACATGATCTCTAGACTTAAAATGCACTAAATCCAAATCCAAATTTATGCTCATATAACTTCAACTCCAATCTCCACTGTAGTGAGAAGAAACTAAACAGTAGTGCTGATCAGTTCAGAAAGGCAAAGCCACTGTGACTGTGATGGTCTGTATGTGCAACATTGGCACTCAAGACTGGAGCCATGAGACACAAGAGCATCAAGCGACAGTGAAAGGGGTTAAAATGCGGAATCAAGACAGAAGAATTTTAAACTCATTTTTCTCTAAACCTTCTTATACAACATCAACAATATAGCCTTTCTCTTTAATTTTATTTTAATCAATCAATTCTGGAACCATGTAGCATACAAAAACTCTATTTTCCTTTTCGGAAAACAGCATAATCAAGGCAATTCAACAACATTTCAGTAATCATATATTATTTCCTTCCTCCCTTTCTGCCTTCCAAGCAAAGGGAATACATTACATAGATCCTGACTTTACTTACTAGTGAACTTCTGTAGGACTACCCTGCGATCAAATAAGTTAGGATTAAATGTTGGCCAGTAGTAAAACAGAAGCTTAGCAGCAGAAGATCTTGCTCCAGAAGTACCATATGCGATCACACAAAGCAAATCCTTCACCACAGTCTTCTTATTGGTCATCAGGCATTCCAATAGCTGGCAATGATGTGCTGTTGATAAGTGCAACTACAGCAATGTAATATGCTACAAACATTAAATTTTCATGTTGACGTACCATGATTTTATGGTATTTATGTATTTTACGGTTATTCTATCTAATTATTAATCCTGTACAGTTCAATGTCATATATATGACATGCTAAAATTCCACAACCTGATAAAGAGTTAGAGACTGAGACAACTGGGGGTCATATATCTTACAAAAAAACAGAGTACGAATTCTATCACAGCACACAAAACACTTATGACAATGCTGTGGTAAGTTGATGTGCAGGCCTGATACAATAAGGATACCAGACAGCAATAAGGAATTAATTCAGACACAAATCTATTGTTGAAAACAAAGTAACAGCACAGACATACATGATTTTTCCACTTCTTTAATTATTTTAATGAGATGTGTTTGTTATACACTCATTTGTAAAATTAACCCTTTTTGAGAACATGCATTAAGTTTGATTTCAGTTATATGTAAAGTAGGCTTTATAATAGACCAATACAACAAACATTGCCTGAAACTTTGAGTGGAACTCAACAGAAAATTTAATAAAAATCTGTTGGGTAGTTCTGCAGCTGGTAAGATTCAATCACCCCATAATGCATTAATTTAATGCAATTTTTACACAGAAGAGAGTCCTTTATCTCTTTTTTACATACTTCCCCCCTGAAACACAATTAAGCCCCAAAAGTATGATGATTTATCATTATATGAGTGTCCCAACAGATCCTAATGCAATCATACTGCGCTTTTAATCCATTGATGGCATTCCAGCAGTAACCCACAGATACATATATCTTGATGTACAAAGCTTATGGCATGGTAATTATGGGTTATAATGGTTAATCATAAGCACTCACCTGGATCTTCAGAGTACTGAAACACCATCATAATAATTGCTGCGACTGACTGACTGGCATAATTTTCTTGTTCATCATCAACATCACGCCTTGCTGTGAAAAGAACAGTTATATAAAGCCTCAAGTGAAGCAATACTGAATATATACATTAAAAAGGTAAGACAGGGAACAGAAATTTATTACTAGGACAATAATCAATAAAATAAAATTGCCTGACCCTTGTTTCACAAAGGTACACAATGATCTGCTTGCTCCTCTCATCAGAGGGCCCACGCTATCGGCAATAAAGCCAGTACATATGTAGTACTGTGGGTGCATATGTCAGTCCTTGTACAACTGCTTCCTATCACACAAGGTAATGAAATTAGTTGTCCCTGATCCTATCATGTGCAGACATTCCTTCAGTAGACTCCACAGGAAAGAATCTGGCAGAGTTAAACCTGGGGACCATGTCAGCTGAATTTCTTGTGAGCTAACCCAGTTTCAAAAAACCTTTAATTTCCCTCACTCTTTCATTTGACACGTTGAATTTTATTTCATCTTTGCTGGAAGCAGCAGGTAGTTCTCTTCATTCAACTGGTTTACAAAAGCATTGAGATTTGTGAGTGCCACTGGTGCAAACAAAGAAAAGAGGTCTGATAATTAGGGTGTGTAATGGCATTCCATGCATCAATTTTTCCTCGTGGACTGCACATAGGCTTTCTAACACATTAAATCATGCTCAATCTCTAAATCATGAGACCTACAATCACTGGATGTTAAATCATTAACTTATAAATCCACACATAATATGCCAATATATCTTCTTTCCTACTGGAAGCAATTTTTTGAATTACAGACATACAGTGAAAGTGCAATATCACTTTCTTGGCGGCTGTTTGACATGTAGTGCAGGAGACATGAGTCTCTTGGGAAAGCTTAAGCAATAATTTAGGAGGTGATGCCAGCAGCCACTCCATTACATCCTGTACCAATGGATTGGACAGCTTCTCACTGCCTGTTACCAATACAGGTGGCTTTGTGCTGTTTCCATTTTATCAGTTTCTAAATGCAGCATTGTAATTAAGTTGACCTACCCATCACACTTGTTCTAAAATTCCCTCTGCAACTCCTTGTAGGACACCATTTGCCAGTATGCCCTTCACAGTTCTTTTAATAATTCATCCATAATTTTATTGATATAAATATTTCCTCAATTCACCAGTTACAAGCTGTTCTGGTATATGTTTCTTGTTTAACATTCAATAAAACAGACAAAATTATAAGCTAAAAATGTTTCTAAACACATACTCCAACAAGATATGATTCTAGCCTAATAACTTACTTATAGTAAATGGCAGTATATAAAAGCACAGTGAATTTACAATTTCCTGATGTAATGCACTGGGAAGAACTGCCATCATAGAAGCAGTCATATATGGGAGAGTATCAATCATGTCATGATCCAAGAAAGGAAGAAGACAGCCCAAACACTGCAGCATGGCTTGGCCAAACACTGTAAGAAAGCAAGGCACTGCCATTAGTGACATTTTATGATAACAGAACTGCAACTTGGATGACATACTAAGACATAAAAAAAAATTTAACAAATTCCAGACACAAGAGTAAGACATATTCAATTAAAAAATCTTCTGAATTGACACAAAAATTGGTTACCATACAAACCATTAAGCCCATACTGAATGAGAGGCACAACATCTGTTAGCTGCACCATGGCATTATATAGTCCTTTATAGTCCAGATTCGGATACAACCCAAGACGTACAGAATCCTTCTCCTGTGATTTCAACATTTCAATTGGTGAGCTTGGGACATCCTTCAGTACAGCTGGAAATCAAAATTATAATTTACGTAATCTGAGCAAATTGTCCTTCAACTCTTTCCTACAAGAAGCAAAGAATAATTTTATTTGCATCACTGATGTAATATATTTCAAATAGAGAAGTTTCTAAAGCTGATTTAAATGAATGCATGAGAAGTTCATAAACATGATGTGAAAAATCAACTACACTGTCATAAAACAAACAGAAATGAGATTCATTATAAAAAAGGAAGAATACATTCTGGAAATGTTTTGTTGTTACCCAGATCTGAAACTATTACATTTATCTACTTTAAAAAGTGCAAAGATCTACACACACAAACAAAACAACAGTTCTTCTGCTTATTTTGTAGTGAAACATGGGAAAGAACATAAATTTAAAGTGTTGGAAAGCTAGTGCTAAAATATATTGCACATAAGAAGGGTGAAGTAGTGAGCTATTCAGGATATTATATTAGAGGAATTGTGTGAAACATCATTTATTTTTTGGTTCTTTTCACATGGGTTAAAGGCATTTATTATGCCACTCCTAAGCTGACTCAGAGTCATAAGTTCAAAGTACAGAATGTTCCTTACAATTATCTATCACTGATACCAAACTAGGTATACTTACTCAACAGCGTCTGTGAAAAATATTTCAGCGTGTTTGCTACGTCAACTCCAGAAGGAACTGGCATGATGTTATACAATAAACGTAGCTGGTAATCATGAAGATTGCGTATTCTTGCTGTAACTGATATATTAAAGAAAACATTTTTAATGTAATTTAACCCTCTTCTTCTAACAAAATAAAACAAAATGTTTATGGGCACTAGGTTGTATATGGACATTGTCAGTATACATGCGCTGATGGCATGTTACATATGAACATTACCGATATGTTGTATATGAGTATTACTGATATGGGCATTGTTAATTCTTGCATATTGTCTTCTACAATAATCATAAGGCATATTTCATATGGCATAAGATATTTTGTAATGTGGTTTAACTTGTTTTTTGTTTTTGTTATAACAGACAGCTTGGTAAACAAGATATACTTGTAACATAGAAAAATGCTGACACACACACATTTAAAAAGTCCAGCTAAGGCAGGTAGCCAAACTCATAAACAATGGTAGAATACAGAGAAAATGGCAGGTCCAGGAAGGAGGAACTATTTGTAATACAGAAAATTTCTGGAAATATCCTGTAAGGTTACATGCCTTGTTGATCAGTATAAATACTGCAACAAGTTGTGATTCAGGTCCATAATTGACAGTACATAGCTTTTAGTAAGTCAGCTACTGCTTAAACCTCAAGCAGCAATGCTTGTTAAAGATATTATTTATTATTCACTTGTAATAAACCACCTGTTTAAGACTATGTCTCTAGTAGATTATTCCACCAGTGATGGCCTAACTGAAGACTGTTCTATCAACCCGCTTCTCCACTGAATCCCACGACACTACAAAGATGTTGCCTGCATCTGTCCTATCTTCTTATGTTATAAAACATAGTAAAATGCCATTTAAAATGTAAATAACTGTTATAAACTGGCATGAATAACTGTACTTTGTTGTGGGTGCCAGGACATAAGGGACTAAAGAAAATGAGATTTCTGATCAGATGCAAGAAAGGGCTCCCTGCACCCATTCATAGGACCTGAGCCTGCTTGTGGCATCTCTGAGAGTTGCAAGGCATGCTATAAGCGATAGAGAGTAGAGAAACTGCTACAAATATTGCCAGTTGACTCCATGACAAACACACAAAGAGCTTTCTCTTTGAGCCCTCTGCCCAAAGGACTGTCAAGCTATCAAGCTCAATAGAATCTGGGCAAGACAAGTGACAGGCCTGTCAATAGGACTGTCACTTAAAGGGACACCGCTTCAAATTCAAGACAGCAGACAGCACATCTGTGGAAGGTGCCACAACAAAACAGAAATAGCCTCACATATCCTACATGACTCTGAGACCTTGGTTGAATTAAGATTGTCACTTGGATAGCACTTCAAGAAACCAAGTGACTTATCATGAGATCCCACTATGTAAGCCCCAACCCTACTTTTATTCATTCATTAATTCATTCAAGATGTTTTAATTAAAGATGAACATTTATTTGGGAAACAAAATGATTCTAATATTCTCTTATTTCATCGAATAACTGGAGAACTACAAAAGCGCTCCACTTGTGAAATATTTATCAGGCTCACTCAGCCCTACAATAACAACTTAAATTTGAAAAAATTAAACAATAAATGTATTGTGTGTATGTACTGCTATTTTTGAAATCTAACATGTAGAAAGATATGTTTACTTTTGTTGCGTATTAAATGTTTACGATTCCAACGCATGCAGAGCACTTTCGTGTTTCTTCTTCTGGATTATGATACCGTGGGCATGACTTCCGACGTTTCGGAACAACACGGTCCCCATCGTCACACTCCACCGTCCAGTACTACGAAGTGAAAGAAGCAACAGACCTCCAAAAACTGAATATGAATCGCCGAGAAAAAACAAACCATAACTGGGCAGTTTGAGAGGAAGAATTTACAAACTATTTCACAACACGTTCCGCTATCTTTCAACTTACAAGTTGCTGCTCTTGTAGCCATGTTGTTTTCAAAGGAACTTATAAAATTCTTATTAAATTTCTATTCAAATTCTGGTAAACTAAAATACGTTCACTTCTATAGCATATCTTCCTCAGCAATGTCAGTTTTGACATCACCCACCTCCCAGCACGTACTATAAATCAATACCCACTGATAGCTCTACCATCTATTACTGTACTAATGTTATAATCAGAGACGGTAGCTCTGTTCAATTGATATTACAATTTACTATTCGACCGCCACAGAGGTCTGCACAGGCCCAGACTTGGTCCTTGAGCCTCAGCCCGACCCGGCGTGGTAGCACAAATAATGTTAGGTTCATGGCAAGTTCAAATGACAGCAATCAAGGTTTTGTCCAATTCGAGATTTCTCAGGCCATTCTTTTTTCGCAAATACAAAACATTTTGCAGTTGTGTTTATCGTATGCGCCTGGCAAAGTCTGGCTCTGAAAACAAATCTCATTGACTTGATTTTCTTTGGGGTTATCGTGGACACCCCCCCCCCAAATATAGTTCGAGATAACATCTTACAAACATGCCGTCTCATATCTATGTACCGTCCACTAAACGTCAAAATAACCAGAGATGTGGACAACATGGAAAAATTTAAAATTCAGATGTACACAAGATGCAGACATAACCTCCATGTGCCAAACACTAATCTCAGCAAATATCAAAAAGGAGTTTGCTACAGTGGATTAAATTATTCAGTAATATTCCTCTTACCACAAAAAGTTTAAATCTTGACAAAGTATTTAAGCCAGTACTAAAAGAGTATCTCTTATCTCACTCCTACTTAGTAGAATTTATTTTAAACAATAATTCTATTATTACAAATACATATAATAATGATGTAATTAATTTGGTATAATACTGTATTATATCTGACGTCTATAAATACTGTCAAAACTTTGTATTTAATCTACTGAATTGTATTTGTATTATGACATATTCTATACCCTGTCTACAAATAGCTGTTAAAACTATGTATTTACTTTACTGTATTGCATTTGTATTATGGTGTAATCCACATCCTTGGCTTAGGCATATGATGGGTCTATGGAATGTAAATAAATTCTATTCTATGTCTAGAGTGTTGTCATGTAATTCCTTCATGACTGCTGGAATTTATGCATAACAAAAAACAAGAAAAATATGAACGAAACACTTGCTTCATATTAGAGAGGTCATGTGCACAAATCTTGGCCCAGAGACCAGCTATCCTGACTAGGAGCAAATGCCAGGATAGTACCTTCAATTAGACCATGACTGCTTCCTTATACAACCTTTCCAATTCCTTATTCACTATCATCCTCTCATTCATCGCTATGTAGTCTGAGCTACTGAAAAAGCTATAAATATAAGTAAATGATATGAGTCAGACTGTTAATAAATTTGCGCTGGAATAAAAGTAAATCGAGTTTAGGAAACATATTTTAAGATAAACTTTGGGCTTGGGCTGGGCCAGGTAAAATGCTAAAATTTCAGCCCATGCAGACCTCTGCCACCATAATCATCCTCCCTTTGGTAGCTCAGTTCAGTCGATAATATTTTAAACAGCCACACTCACATATGCCCCCTATCAAGATTCAGTGTTCTATATGAATAATTTTTGAAAACCCTGTTATTGCAGAGGACCTCACTCCATCTTCTGGGGAAATGTAGGTATTGTTGATTGTATGTGACTTGGTTTATTGGTTCATTATAAATAGTTTCACTTGTACACAGAAGATTAAGCCAATTCCTCTTATACTGATTTTATTTTAAAAAAATACACATTCTTAAACAATTCACATAACAGATCATTCTCTGTCCACTACAAAACACTGAAAATACTATTTATCAATGCTGTACAGCATAATTAAATAAACAAATAAATCATGCTAATGATGGAGGCAGCAAGGACCTCAGAAATGTTGGTAAACTTCTACCAGACTACACAGCACAGCAATCCAAAAGACAGCCATCTACAGACGAACCGCCATGAAAACCTCAAATCGTACAAATAAATGCACCATCATCTAAGACAACTGTGCCATTGGTAAGGTTCTTAGGTACTTCATTCCAGCAGAATGCTTTTAACCATGAGTGGTCTTGCATCCAGCTGGACCTCCTGGTAACCCAAGCTGAAAAAGAAAATAGACCTCAAATAGCTGTAAATAAGAGTGAGATAAAAAGCACATTGGCACATAAATGGCAACAAGTTTTAGAAAACAGCATTTACGTGTGTAATGTATCATAAATATACAGTAAAGTAATAATAACAAGAGATTTGTACAGCACCAGTCATTCTGAATTTCTCTCAAAGCAGAGTGGCTTGTAGCTTGCAGTCGCAGTTTGGCAGGCATGTGAGGGGGGAAGCCTTTGAATGTTGTCTGTAAAATTCAAAGTCCATTAAATCAGGGTCTGTACAATCAAGGTTTTACTGAACATGGTAAATTTTATATGCAGTTTTTTAATAAATGAGAATTGGTTCACGAATTATATCAACAATTTCCTATTGTTTACCTGAATTTCACAAGTACAATCTAGTGCAGGCACTGGACAAAGATCCATACATTTTGTAGCAATATTAATAGACAGTATTTCTTGAGAAAGGAGACAATAAAGACTACTGATAATGCAGGGATGTGATTTGGTATGTTTAAGTCATAACACAGCATTTAAACCTCAATTTAAATTTACAGGAAAAAAGAAATCTGGTTTTTGACACGTAAGCCAAGGTCAGCTTTTAAATGAATTTTTGTTCCAGACTTATTTTACAAACCTGAAGATATTGGCTTTGCTCCAAGTTTGTTCATTAGTTTTTGACATAACACATATTCACAAACTGAAAGACAAAGATTATAATCAAAGTTCAGTTTAGGACTTACTGATGAACATTTGCAATACATTTTAATATTTTGTGACTACCATGCAGTAAGGAAAGATTCATTAACTTTACAAACACACATATTTTCACACTGATTAAAGTTACGTAAATTTATTTTCAAGTTTGCAGTTGGTAACAAATCACCCTGATGAAGGTAGGCACTAAGCAACTCCAAAATGTCAGTCAATATCTACTGACTACATCACAGAAGACAGTTATCTTCATATTTATCACTGTGAGAAACTCATGTCTCATATTTTCAAGCAGACATATATTTTATTTGATCATTCTTGTCCCATGTAATAAAGTAAGACAAAAATTGTTACTTTTTTATTGTTATTATTATTCAAAACGGCTGGCCCATGTTGCATATGATGATTTAGTAAGGTCCACTCTTAAGAAAAGGTTGAGGAAGGTGCATAAACAAATGCAACAAACTCTGGTACTGCACACTAAATACCAAGTTCTGAAAAATTATATATTTATATTTGTATTCTACAATGTTTTAAACACTTACACATTTCAGACATATAAAAATAAATTTGCACATCTATTATTACATATTTCTAGGTTATATCTACAATCTATGGTCAACAGCCTGCTCAAAATTTTATAACCTTTTTATGCAACATTGTGTGAAATAAAAGGCCATATAAATGAACAATGCAAGGGACCATTACTGACTTTCTTAGGCTAACAACTTTAATAATAACAGAGCTCATAATTCTGATTTTCAATGAAAGCAAAAAATCTAAAACTTATCAAGGCTCTCAGCAATAATGCAAGAACTCAAAGTCAAGCTAATGCTTTCAATAAAATAAAATAAAACACACACACATACTGAAATTTACAAGTCACTTTACTGCCTACTACTCTCCACCATGTGTGTAAAATACCAAACAAAATGTTAAGTCCCTTCAAAAATTCAGGTATGCAGAAGGATAATCTTACATTTGCAAAATAAAGATTATACTTTATACTGTATGCAGTCATTATTTTTAAATACTTGGTACTCACCTATAAAAACATATTTGACTACCATTATCAAAATAAACACATGAATTTAAAGAGTTACAATAATTCAAGGTTGGTATGAATAAAACCATGACAATGAGGAATGGTTTTAAAAATCTACATGTTTATTATAACTTTATACAATCTTTACACCTCAGTCCCATAAAATTCAATTTCATGTGCAACAACTTTTCAACTCCTTAACATATGGTTTAAATTCTTAAAACCCAACAGCAAGTTAACACATCTTTTGGCCTCAAATAATATATTTAGGTTATAAACTGAGCAGAAGTTAAAAATCAACTGCTCTTATAACCATCTCATTAATTCCAATGCTTATGCACTGGAATTAATGATGCTGGCTAAGAGAAGTTCTGAGTGATCACCCAGACACATGCCTTACACTTTCTCACATACAGGTAGCACAAAGAAAGACAGTGATCTCAAGATTTCAATGAAAAATACTTTAAGGGATCCCTACTACATAAAGAAACTTTAAGCATCTACTTTTCACTGCACATAAACAATTCATATGGAAAAGGTTTTACAATTTATTTTGAGCAATTTATCATAAAAAAGAAAATCAAATCTATGACAAGACTATTTACACTGAGGCAGAGGTAAGTTATACAATGTTAAATTATAATTTAACATTGTATAATTATCAGCAATTTTGTAGTCCAGTATCAATAATATGCATAGATATGCAGTCCAACTAAGATCATAAAGGTTTAATAAAACTTCTCTTCCTCCTCTTCATTTCCATTTTACAAGTCTATGGTGTAGAATTGTGCACAGGTGATTCATTGATCATGATATAACTTGATCTAAAGTATATACAGTGTCCCTCAAAACATTTGCCAAACTTCAGGTGGTTATTCATTGCCTTATTCTGGGTGAAAAATGCTGTATCAACATGGGCTGAAATCCAAACCATTATGTAGTTATCTGAAACATCTATTCCCATTATCCCTCTGTCCTGAGTTCCCCTTTCTTTTAGAGCACTTGCACATGTGGCATGGTCTTATTAACAACCACCAAACTGAGTCAATTTGTTTCTGAGGGATGATTAACTACTACCTACATTTAATACAGGGAAAGTGACCACTTCCTTTGAAAGACTTCCGTTTCCAAGTCAGATTAAACATGTGGCTGCAACATGACAATGCTCTACCTCATTTTGGTCAAGTCACACAGGACTTGAATTGCCACTATGGAAATCTTTTGATTCATCATTAAGGTCTACATGCCTGGCCACTCTGTTCTCAAAACTCACAGACACAAAATGAACTCTTACAGCACCTCATGTATAGTTCAGTTCTCATATAGAACCATCATGAAAGCAAACAGAGAGCAACATGTGCCGTTCTAAAATGAGCTCACTTATGAATAGCCAATGCAGATCATTTCAAACAGAAAGTCACTTAAGTATGAGTATTGTCACAAAGTACCTTGCGTAGAGTAAGAAGAATACAGTTCCTATGTAGCTGACTCATTTCTACAATTAAAATAATTTAACTTAATCTGTGTGTTTCTTCAACTTTCCTTACTTTCTGTTCATCGCAACTATCAAACAGTTGAGATTTCAACCTATATTGACGGATCATTTTTCATTTGAAATAAATCAATAACTAGCTACCCAAAGTTTGGCAGACACAAAAGTGGGACACACTTCAATGCTTTCCCTTGTACTACACTTCAGTAACTGTTTTATCCTAGTTCTCAGGTGTGGCTGCTTCAGGTACTGTCTGCACTATCATCTTCCGGCGTACATCATACATATAGTTGTTTGACTTGAAGATCTTGCTCTCATAGAATGGCTTCACATCATGGATATCAATCAGCCTTGCCTGGAAATAGAATGTAAAACTCACAATACAGAATAACATATGTGCTACAAATATCACCCACAACCAGACATTTGCTACAAGAAGTGGATTAATATTTCTTACTGCAGTAAATGTGTAATGGGAATGCAACAGTGGCTCACATTCAGTATTTCAAGCCTGAAATACTATTCTATTGTTTATTGTATATCTGTGTAAGTGTTTCCAAACTCATTGCTTTCAGCTGTACATCCCTTCCTTCTGCATTCAAAGGCACAATACAGTATGGAAACAAAATAAGAGAAGCACTAACACAGCAACAGTGTACCCACATATGGTGCAGTCATAACAGCATATTATGTAAATACAGAAAGAACATTATATCATTCTTTACATTTTAATTTAACTGCTGCAGAAACATGAAAGTACTCACTCGATCAATAAGATCCTTCTCACTGATTTCAACAACTGCTGCATCTGGTCCCTGTACACAACGGATATATGTCAGCTGATCCAAAGCCATCTGCCGTAAGATGTAGAATAGTAACTCACTGTTGTCTTTCTTAAAGGACAGGTACTTCTGGAAGGTCTGCAATAATTTAACAGACAAATTTGAAGACCCAAAAGCATGTATCACTGGATTGGTAACATGTTACCAAATTACTGTAGCTCAGAAATTATTAAATGATGTTTATCAAAAGCTTCTGACGTGTTATCTGCAAAATACTCTCTTCACATGTACACAATTCTGTTCAATTTTTGTCAGCATACCAATGTTATTTCACTTGGGATATTGTACACATTCTTCAATTGGTACAGTTCACTGCTCACAAATTTATGGCTCTATTTCAGTAATTTTGTCTAATGTATTCTTGTAGATGGTTCACCAAACTTTTGGAAGAACATATCACATACACAAAAGAAGAAAATATTTAAACTTACACTTTTCATTGATTTCATGACACTATACTTTTGTGTCTCAACAAAACTTTCCAACATCATACGGATAGCCATGTTCACATCATCTTCCTGTACATAATCTCGCAAGTGAATGCGTGCACTGGCCTCAGCCATTCGAATCATACTCTCAATATGTCGAACTGTGATGGGTAGACTGCCAGTTGCCTAAGAACAAGTTTGCTGTCAGTTTCATCTTACATAGGAAACCTATAACATGTCAGCATTCCTTTGATGGAAACATAACTCCAATAACATCATATATCAAGTTGTAAAGAAAGAAAACAATGCATCATATTTCATAATACAATTTACAACATCATATAACTCATACACACTAATTTTTTGCTGTAAGATCAAGAAACAAATAAATCCCTGTCTATTTCACACATTCCATTCTTACATTATGACTGACACTGATCAAAATTTGATCACCAATATCTGAAATGGAGAGCAGCAGGTATAAAATCATCTGTACAAAACAATACACTGAAACACCAATGTTTAAGAGACTTACAAGAGATTCTTGGCGCAGTTGACTGTACATCTTTGCCACCTTATCCTGATCCATGCGCTGCAGTTTCGGATGCACATTCTCACGAGCATAAACAATGTACTTTTTAAGTAACTCCTGAGGAATAGGCTGCACATCACCAAGTGCTGGATCAACAGGCATCTCATCTTGATGGTTACCCCTGTTAGGATGATGTTTCACATGTGATGCCACCACAAACTGTGCCAAGTGTTGATCTTGCATTGGATCCACTTCATCTCGTACAACACACAGCACATCAAATCTTGAGAGAACTGGTTCTGACAAGTTTACCTGGATATATGCATAAAAGTGGCAAGTCAGAGTAATTGTGAAGTCTGGTTCAAAAAAGAAAATATTGCCTTTCCTGCCTTGGTTATAATTTAATCCATTACCCATAATTAATTTATTACCATTATTGGCTCTGTGACATAACAAAGGAGTTTGAATGATGGTGATGTGCAGGCAGAATCTAAAAAGAAGTGGCAAATAAATTATGCAGCGGTAACAACATGTCTTTGCCCTAATGAAACAATACCTGCACCAGCCATTGAGAGCAGCTGTAATGCCATGGACTCTACTGCCCCAAAACTTGTCAGACGAGTGCAAACTGTATGTTATTCAAAACAGGTAAGCCCCAAATTCCAGATACACAGTATCTCTAGAAATGTTTGTTTAGCACCGACTTTTCCATGATTAGAAGTATGTTACTATAGACTCACATTTTCTGAGAACGTCATGCTAGCATCATAGCGACCACCAATGGGGTTAGAAGCAGCAATAACTGAACACCGAGCCTGCAGTGATGTCACAATTCCAGCTTTTGAGATTGATATGGACTGCTGTTCCATAGCTTCATGGATTGATGTCCGATCCTGATCATTCATCTATAAAATCAAACCATTATCCCCTTTTAACTACATACACACATAATACAGAATATTTGTCACATCTTATTTTATTAGACTAGCATTCTAACACAATTATTCTCAAAGAAACAATCTTCACAACTACCACTTCATGTGGTAGAATCACAGATGTGATATATATAAAACTGGATACTGTTTATGTACAGTATACAAGACTAACAAAGTTTTCAGTGATGACATTACAGTAGTAAGTCCATTATTAATAGAGTTCAAAACATTCAAATAAACATTTGTTATTTTCAGACAAACTGCTGCATTAGTCCTATCACTCCCACAGCTGGTCACTGCACAAGTATATTAACATTTTTATTGATGTCTATTTGCATTTTTCAGTCACATCAGAAACAAAATAGAACATAAATGCTCTCTGACAATCAAATAACTGGATACTTACCACTTGATAGTGACCAACAGCAAAAGTGTGTTGCAGTGGAACACAGCTGACATTGAACAGAAGAAATTACTAAGCCATGCTGCCAGATGTAACTTTATGCAATTATAGAAGACTTAGTTTGCAAAGACAATGAAATGATAACACCACCACATTTATACAAATACAGGAAGCAATCAAAATCACCCATTATATAAAAATAATAAACAAGATCTTTCTCTGGGCATGGAAGACTAACACAATAGCTACCTTGTCAAACTCATCTATGAGGCAAACACCCTGGTCAGCCAGCACCAATGCTCCAGCTTCCAAAGTCCACTCCCTTGTAGCTGGGCTGCGTTTCACATAAGCTGTCAAACCAACAGCAGATGCTCCTTGACCAGTCGTAAACACAGCCCGAGGAGCTATCTTTTCAACATACTTGAGAAACTGCGATTTGGCTGTGCCAGGGTCACCACAGATGAGTACATTGATATCGCCACGCACCTTGTGTTTCTGGCCTGAATATCAAATATTACACTCACATTTACATGATCAGGCTTACATTCCTGTCCCAGAAAGAGATCCAAATGAGGACAAGTTTTGAAAAATAAAACTTAACATATATCACTTTGCTAATTAGGATATTATACGTGCTGACAAAATAACTACACAGTAGTTTGCATCTAATTTTTATACATAATTATCCTGCTTTTCAATTCATTTGGTCCAACATATTAAACTTGTTATAGCACTCACTATCAAAATAAAATGGAAACTACAAGCAAAAGAGAATAAGGAACAATGCATATTTCATAATTCCTGGCCTTACTGGTTGGCAAGCTTCATGAAATAATTAAGATAATGTTAAGTGTCTCACCAGGATTCTTAGACTCTCCACCAAAAAGAGCTAATGCAATGCCCCTCTTGATGTACTCATGGCCATATATGGAAGGACCAATACTGGCTACAATTCGCTCTCCAATCCTGTAATCCTTTGAGAGTCGAGTAATGGCAGCAACATCCTCATCAGTCAGTGACTGTACTATCTGCTTACAGTCCTTTACTATCAAGTGGTTGGCCATTATAACAGTTGAGAAGACAGGGAAACCCTGTTCAGTGTTCAAGGATCCATCATAGTTGTTGGTGTAGATTCCTGTCACATCAATCTCATCACCAGGTTTGCAGCGATCACAAAGGTCTGCCAGCATGATAATATCCTTGGAACGAGGAATTCGTCCTGCTGGGATACGGCCTGGAGATTCTTGCAGAGTAATTTTCTGGTAATTGCGATACACTGTTTGCTCCATGTTAATCTAGGGAGTAAGGATAGGTGTAACTAAATTAAAATGCAGTCATCTACAAACAGAAAGTGATTTCTAATCTTGATGACCAGTTTTAAATACAAATCACAATAGGATTCATCTTTTATCCCAATGAAAGTTGTCCTAACAAAGGGAGAATAATGGGAGCAGTACATGGCTCATGAACAACTTTGCTTTGGCTATAGTGCCAGACAGAAAGCAGGTACTCACATACAAAGTAATGGCAGCCTACAAATGATCTAATGGAGGTCCAGTACATAAATTATAAAGTTCCAGAAAAAATTATTCATGAACTATTTAAAGAAATGCTTACTTATAGTTCTACTAAGTTAAAGTAATTATAATATAGTCACTTAATGACAGTAAAATAAAACAATGACAAAGAATTTCATTATTATGCTATTCTATATATAAAACAAACACTCTACACTGCCAACATGAATATGAATAAAGCAGAACTAACATACCATCATGTTTCCTCTTTTCAGGAAAACAATGTCCCTCCTGGAGATGGCTGTCTTATGGTTGCAGAGCCATATAGTGTAGCAGGAATTTATCATTTCAGAGGTGCTTGCTGCCACCATCATTAAACTTCTACCAGACTACAACCCCTAAGACAGTTATCTTCATACTTGACATGAGAATCTCAAATACTACTTAATATCTCTCTTACCATGAAAGGACCATTGCTTTGGCACTCAGGGCAAGAGCCTGGCTTTACTTCAGCATTCTGAGACTGAACAAATGGGCCCAACACATAACCACATTTGTTACAGTCATACTTGACAACTGAAAGCTGTGGAAGAACACCTGTTGTAGCTGTCACCACACCAGTTGTGCGAACAAACTGGTTCAAATGAATCTTTCTGTAACAGGTAAGCATTATATTTCAACCCTGGATCAAATGAGTTCATGTTTACATTCAAACTGAACACACAAATCCTGATATTGCATTTCTTTCCTCCTCCCAAATTACTTATGAATGTGTTAACAGAGCAAGCAGAATGTTTATTGAATATATTTCATTACTAGAAACATACTCTACATAAAACTTATACTCGTGAGATCGATGAACTTTACTTTTCTGCTACTTTCAGGAACTACCATATTTATGTATGTGCATGTTGCATTTGAACTTATAATTCCAAAGTTCCAATCCAAAAATAGGGGTTCAACATACAAATAAGTTAGGTTGTTCTCATGATTGAAAAACTGTAAATATGTGACACGAGAGTTTTCAGCACATTTGACAGATATCTCATTAGTTTGCATGAGCATCTCATGGCCATAAACAAAGTTGCAAAAATATGCAGATCCAATGAAAAACGTTTTAACAAAAATGCAAAGGGATTTACATATACATAATTCTGGGCAGATTTTTTACAACCAAGAAATGTACAGGACCACAATGAGCTATCACAACAAACACTATGTTCCTCCATAACTGCTTCTCTGCATATCCTTTTCAATCCATTATCATTCTAACATTTGTAGTACCCTTCAGATAGAAACTGGATAGGCTACAGGATTAATGTACAAATGTAAAAGAAAAAATTCTGCCCCTGTGAGGAATTACACTGTCTGCAGCCCATAGCCAGGCTCTTTATTGGTTAAATTCTTCCAACATATACCAATAATACTCTTATAACATGCAACTCATAGGATGGAGAAATTTCCCAATATACACCCACCTGAATGTACGTAATTCTTCCACAAGAGGCAAGTCAGAGATGCGGACATGAATGTCTGTTGTAACACGGTCATAGCTTGGGAAAATGCTGAGTACAAGCTGTGTGGCTACCTCATCAAATATGGCAAGCATTTCAAATGGTGCCTCTGGCAGAAAGAAGGCAAGCACCTGCTCTTTGGATGCTAAGATGGGAAACTCCACCACAAAACTTGACCTGTTGCTTTCACACATACGTCGTATTCGCTCCTTGTACAAATAATGACCCTTTGAGTTCACGTAGTTTCTCAAGAAACTTTTGAAACGATTTGCAATTTCAGTGCGAGGTCCCAGCATAGAAACCCATTCTTTTATTGTGTGACCTTTTGTATCTTCCAGATTCTCAATGGATTCAATCATCTGAAAGAAAACTTAATTTCATTACAGAAAAATTATTCAAATAATGTTTGATAAAGAAAATGATATGGTTTATATTCTGATGAAAGAGAAACTACATAAACATAATTAATGTTTCCTTTTGAAAGTATGGCATACCTGATATTCAAATATTTATTCAGTGCAAAATAAAGCAGGCTTCCTTATCAAAATACCCGAACAAGTAATTTACTTGGACATGTGTGTCTGCATGCCTTTTATGAAAACCCTCTGTAGGTTACACATCAAACCCACTATTTTATTGGGTATTTTTAAATTACTTTACAGGCATCAAAATCAATGATTGTTTGGTGAGACTGGGACACCTTGATTATAGCTATTATATCATAACTTAATAATCACAGATGTCAGACTTATACATTTACTTTCTTTGTTTTGTTCATAAAGTTAATTATTATACACCGCGAACTTTGCTTTCTTTTATCTTTCTAGATTTTATTGCAGACCATTCAAGATCTACAAAACACCTGCTGCATGATTTACAAATTTATATCACAAATACGGTAACTAATGAAGTGTTACAAACGGTTCCACCATGGCAACAGACATAAACCACAAAGAGTAAGACTTGACTTACTTCCTCATCCAGATCACCAGCAGCTGCTTTTTCAGCCCTCTGTCGTTTTCTTCTCGGTGCTTCTTCTTCATCACTGTCCTCTGTAATATAAGCAGACTTGCAAATAATAACAAGTCATGTTTCTAACTTAAACATGTTATATCACAATTTTTGTTTAACCTAATTAATCATCATATGAATATTCTGACCATCTTAAGTGCATCCCTTGTCACTATGACAGCATATCAGCTTCCAGATCGAGGAAAAGGCCTCCAGATATAAAGAATAGCTGCAAATAGACTACATAAGCAGTCAAGGGCAGGTAACAGCTCAAGCTTGGGGGTTAAGGATGGAACTAACTACCTACTATAAAAAAAAGCAAGGTACAAACCAAGGCTGTTGAGTCAGTCATGGAGTCAGAAGAAATTTTAGGCGGAGTCAGTAAAAATGCACCGACTCCAACCTCGATATAAAATTTTTAGAACAATCTCTATACCGTGTGAGCCTCCAGTTGCCTCACGCTTAGGGAGATTCAACGACATGTTGAGCCACATGGTGTGAGAATAATGCTTTGTAACTTTGACTCCGGTACCTTAAGAATACAAACTGTCTACAAATCAACAGATTTCTGCAATAACCATTAGAAGTATATTTAAATATAGGTTATAAGTCTAAAAAGTAGGCTGATGATTCAAGTGGTGGTGATGAAATCTCTTATGGTGCCATTTACCATTTTAGTAGGTTTAAAGTAAAAGTAAAGTAAAGCTGTTCCACTATGCGTCATGTAGGCGTTTGGGGGGAGAGGAGTATAGCTTCTACTCATTCTTGACCTCGGCACTAGATTTGGGTGAGTGGTCAGCATCACGCCCCGGCCGTGCTTTACCCCCAAAAAGGGACCCCAGTACCCATTGGATAGTGGGCTGGGTGGGCCCCAGAGCCGGCCTGGACGCATACTTTTAGTAGGTTTACCATTATTAATACATATTGAGCTTTTATGAAGGAGTCAGAGATTTTAGTACCGATTCCACAGCCCTGCTACAAACGTTACACAGCTTTGGACTTGAACAAATCTTTTGAAATGACCTAAGCAATGAGAAATGGGCATGAGGTTTGGAACTAAGAATATCACGAGTCCCTATAGGTCAAATTCAATAAAATGGATCTTAGGGAAATCAGGTTTGGAAATGTGGATTAGATTTGTCTGGCTCAAGTAATGAACCTTCAGGTTCCATAAAATGTAGGTAATTTCTGAACTAGAAGAATACACTAATAGATTCTCAGGAAGGACTCTGCTCCATGGAGTTGGTTGGTTGGTGAGTTAGTTATAAATATTCTGAAACACAATTTCCACTCTTGGGTATAATTATAATTAATGTTCCTAAAAAGAGGTATAGTTCTACAAACGTTGATAACAGAATGAAAAATTCAATGAAGCAAATGTAGTGGTTACAAAAAGCAGAAAGGAAATACTACAATGCAGCCATCATATATCCTCCCCATATGAAGAACATACTGAACTGGGACATATCACAAGGAGTAGAAAGGCCATGTCATGGCATAGCCACTGAATATCCTGCCAGTATAAAGAATGTGCTGATCTGAGACATCTACTGCACCCCATTTTGCTGCACATCCTATTATACAGTAAAATATACATTTTCAGTATGTAAGTAAAGTAAAAACAAAATTATGTGAGTTTGTAACAAAATAATATAATGCATACCATAAATAAGTTCCAAATCACCACGCCGAGTAAGAATTTCTTCCTCTCTGTCCCTCCGCCTCATGACTGCCTCAGCTGCTGCTCGCTCAGTCTGGGAAATGTCATCATATTCTTCATCATCCAATACATCAGGCTCATATCGATCCAGAGCTGGCATTGGACGATAGTCCCTATGATTACAGAAATGTTAATTATATTTTCTTCTGGTTTTCAAATATGACAAGCAGTGATTAATCATGTACGTTTACATAGTGTCAATAAAAAATATGGAAACAGACAAAGTTACAGACACTGATTATAGAATAATGGTCAACAGAACTAAATGAGGAATATGTAAAGCATTTTCCATTTTTTAATCTGGTAAAATGCAACACAGTTTGAAACGTTCGAAACCAGACAAAAACATACTAAAGGAAAGCAACTCTTGCTATGAAAGTGCACTGTTAGGATAAAACATTTCACAGAGCACCAGCACAACCAAACTTCAAACAGAATACAAAAGGAAGAAATAATTCATCAGTAAATAATCTTACGCCTCCAAGTTATCTCCAAATAGTTCTTCTCCATCTTCTTCCTCCTCATCAGCATGCCTTCCATCACTTTGTGCATCTCCTCCAAAAATTTCACTCTCATCTTCAAATGGCTCCATATCCGGAGCTGGAGATGTTATTGCTTCAGGGCGAATGCCCCATTCTGACACTGGAGAACCTGGTTCACTCTACACAAAATATATGTATCAGTGAGATTGCAGCAATTTAAATATTTTATATAAAACAAGTTTATATTTTTGAACACTGACACTTCTAAAACACTAAATTAGAAAACTTAAATGTTTATACTCACAGACATTATATATGTAAAATCAACACACTACAACACACAATGACCCCTAACATACACTGTACAAAATCGCGCGGGATATTATTACCAATGCGCTATAATCCACAGATATTCACATGTAGTGAAGAAACAAACTATGATTTGGTGAGTGTTTTCCGTGCCAAATGTGTTACCAATCGGACGATAAATATGCTATTCATGAAAACTTTCATAATTAGAAAATGTTGTCTTTATGAAGGTTATAGTGCTCATGCAGTCTCTTCTCCAATGCTTTCAACTAAAGGATATGTTACATCATATTTCTATATGTGTTACGAAAATGCCATAACAAAATTATGACACTGGCAAAGTAGAAAGAATCAAGGTTGGCAGAAACCCCATGCAAAGCTTAATGAACTAGCCTATTCCATCAAATTGTTTCTGTCTTAAAAGTCGGTTTGTGAGTATTTATTGTAACACTTGAAAAATCTGTTCGGATTTATTGAAATTATGGTTGTTTATAGTAAAACCAGTGGAAGAAGAAATAGCATCGATTTTGTGGGAAATATTCTTACTGCAAATGAACTATTTACATTTGTGATACGTGGTTGGTATCAGTGTTAATGTTGCCAACTTAGTGCTACACATGGTAGAAGTAAATTGACGGGCATGGAAGAAAGTTGTGAATTGTAGTGGAAGGAATCTGTGTTTTTAGTATATAGCAATGGCTCCCACAATTCAAACTGCCCTAAATGCTGACAAGCGTCCAACAAGACCTGGTGAAAAACGGTATGTGATGCTAACTTACATAACTTTTCCAAATGTAACCTAAAATAGGCATGGTGATTTAAAATTTCTTAAATGAGAATTCTTTGTTCCAGATCTGAGCTGGTGTGTAGAGTTAAATATTGTAACACACTTCCAGATATACCCTTCGACCCAAAGTTTATAACATACCCCTTTGAGTCTACAAGGTGAGTTCCTTGGGATTTGATTTAAAAACATATTCAGTGTAGTGCCATGCCAAAAAAGTCTTATGTTCCAGTTTTATTACAGTGACTTGCTACGAACCTTTGTAATGACCAGTAACAAATTATGTAACCCCATGGAGTAGTCTTTCTTGAGAAGCTAATAACATTGTCAGCTATACAAAAAATTTCCCATGCTTTATGGAAGCTGAATGTTTATTACTGTCTTCATAAGAGGCTTTCACAACAGGTTTCACACCTGTATAAAACAATTAAAATTATATAAATTATTTGTATTTTTAGATGCCAGTAAGATATTAAGTTAGTTTTAATATATGTGAAAAAACAAGTGGAATTGTATGTGTTACAGATTCATCCAGTATAATCCTACATCCCTAGAGCGCAACTATAAGTATGAAGTTTTAACAGAACATGATCTTGGAGTTACTATAGATCTCATCAACAGGGAAACATATGCCAGTGATTACAGTGCCCAATTGGACCCAGCAGATGAGAAACTTTTGGAAGAAGATGTTCTCACACCTCAGGATTCAAAAAGGTTAAATATTTGGTCTCTAGTTGCTACTTCCTCAAAGTCCAAATAAAAGATAGAGTTACCAAATATATCTAGATGGTTTAGAAATAGGCACTTAAGCATAATCCTGTGTGGTTCAGGATGATGATGTTGATAAGTTAGTACTTCCATTACTTGTTACCCTTAATATTCATTATTATATTCTTGCACAGGTCACGCCATCATGCTCGAAGTGTGTCGTGGTTGCGGAGAACTGAGTATATTTCAACAGAGCAGACTCGTTTTCAGCCTCAGACTATGGACAAGGTTGAAGCTAAAGTGGGTTACAGCATCAAGAAGAGCTTGAAAGTGAGTAAATACTATGTTAATCTTACTGTTTGGAGGCTAAGGTGTCAGACTCTTCTCCCATTTATTTTTGTGTTATTGTTCAGCTGATCCATAATTTTTCAGTGATAATGAAGTGCCATTTTGTTACCTCAAAACTAAAAATCACTTTTTTGCCTGTTTATATTATTCCATGGATATCAACTCAAACTTGGACATGGTCCTTGTAGTAACTGATTTCTCAACAAGTAAATAACAGATGCCATTTAAAATCTGAAGCTGAAAAATATTTGTTCATAGTGTTGCCCAGTTACGTGATACAGTGTGAGGTTAATGGATACAGTCCCAGAAACACAAATCTTGAGTTAAAAATTTCAGAATTGTAATAATATTGAGAACTGTGATACTTATGAGAACATCAGTACCAACAAATATAATATTTCAGGCTGTTTTATTTTCTGAGATTACAGATTGAATAACAGAAGGTTATGTTTTATGAGTATGCAGTGAAACAAAATAACTAGTGATGAATAAGTTAATAAAATTCATCTCTAATAAATACATTACATTTGGAGTTTTAATCCTTGGCAGATGTTCTCTGCATGCCCACTGCAACTCCTTTTATGGCACTCTCATGAAGAAAACTTGCACCAAAGAATGTATGAAAGTCCAGGCTGTGGATTTAAATATTTCAGATACTGTATCAGATTCATAAAAGATCCCTCCCACCTTATACGGTTTGATAATGCAGGCACAAACATGGCACTTCTGGCATGAGGTAAAGGCATCCAGTGAAAATTATTTAGTATTGAAGGATAGGTCTTTATAACTGCTACTGTTACAATTATCTTGTGTTGTAGGATGAAACATTGTATATGGATCGTGACAGCCAGATTAAAGCTATTGAGAAGACATTTGAAGACTCCAAGAAGTCAATTGACAAGCATTATAGTAAACCAAATGTTGTACCAGTGGAGATTCTCCCAGTATATCCGGACTTCAAGGTATGAACACCCACATATTGAAACTCCACTTTCACCTTAGATGTGACTTAAAAGCAAATTTCAGGTGTCTCATCTTCATGATTCATATTTAACCTGTTTGGAGATCTGATGTTAGCACTGCCCACAGCTGATGAAAGGATAAAAATGGTTCATAATTTCAAATAAATGTGTGAAATTAAATGTTTATAAAATTCATTTTTATAAGTGTTGCATGAAATAGTTTTGGTTTGTTGAATATTTTCAAAATCCTTTATATCAAACTATAAGATACCTTTGACAGAAGGTGATCCTCCCTTTGCACTGGAAGATTTTAAGAAGGTACATTTATTCAGCACAAACAGCCCCACCCCCCTTCTCTTCATAATGGCCCATTTTAGGTGAATAGAATGTTTCTGTGGTAAAACTTGTATCTAGTAATAGTTCTTTGTCTTTCCTCCATTGCTGCACATTGGCCCGTGGATGGCTGTCATTTATTATCCTCTTTTCTTCTAATGATACCTGCTTTTGAACTATTGTTACATTGATATGGCACTGTGAATTCAAACTGTTCGTATGTCCACACATTCTAATTGTGTTTCAGATATGGAAGTACCCGTGTGCACAGGTTATATTCGATTCAGATCCAGCTCCTACAGGTCGACCTGTACCTGCACAGATTGAAGAGATGTCCCAGGCAATGATCAGGTAAGTTCAGATATGAACTTATAAATACAGAAAAGTACAGGTAACTGAATATTCATTTTTGGGAGATGGTAGTTTATTTTATTGCATTACAGGATAAAAAAATGTAAAAATATAAGTATAATTGGCCACTGTGATATGTGAGAACAGATCTTGCAGGTTGGATGGTTCAGAAAGAATGGTATATATATCCATTATGATGAAAATCAAAGAAAAATATATGTATAGTAGGAACAAATTCTCATTATAACAAAACTGGTGGAATCTCCATTAAATGTATAAATTTAAGGTGTTCCCTAATTCTGGATACATTTTTGTCCTCGCCCCAGTTAGTGTTTAATTTTCTTCTTGTAATGTTTTCCTCAGATAAATGTTCAAATTCATTGTCTCCCAGGAAACATTAAATGGGAATTTTCTCATTCCCTTATCATAATTGAAACATCATGTATAAAACAAGGGAGTTTACATGATGGATGTGGTATTTTTCATCGTATCTTACCAAGCAGGCTGATGTAGTGATAAGGAGTGTTTTGCAAACTGACATGATGAAAAACAAATGTAATGATCACTGGTTAGATGAGTTGTTGACATGCATTCTTTAAATTTTCATTTGAGTTATCTTATTTTAAAATATGGTGAAGTACTTTAACTATTCTACTTGTATGTACAGGGGTGTGATGGACGAGAGTGGTGAGCAGTTTGTGGCATATTTCCTGCCTACTGATGAAACCCTTGAGAAGCGTCGCAAAGACATTGGTAACTCAATAGAATATGAGGATGATGAGGAATATGAGTACAAGATGGCTCGAGAATACAACTGGAATGTGAAGAGCAAAGCATCAAAAGGCTATGAGGAGAACTACTTCTTGGTCATGCGGCAGGATGGAGTATACTATAATGAGCTGGAGACTAGGTATGGTATATATGTACATGAAGGCCACAGGGTTGAACTTCAATGGATGTAGGGGTATCTTCTCTAACAATATGCTTAGCATGCTGCCTATATCCTCATAATCATCATCAGATGCACATCCTCCTCTCCAGTATTATGGCAATTAGGCCTTCCAACAGCTGATTCATTACTATTAGCTGAAACTAATTGTGTTTCATCTTCACAGGAATAATCTTCTTCTTAAGAACTTAAGCACTAAACAGAATCATATCAAGCAGAAAAAGAATTATATATATCTTCATATGTTTATGGGTACAGTACTAATTGTTGGTTCATCTAATCAATCCCACACATTACTTTATTCTAATCAAGGACAGACTATCATTGTATTATACAATGCACTCTTTTGTTTTCTGTTTCCTTTTCCATGTTTCTGTGATATAACTTCCACTGTACATTGTTGAGAAGATGAAAGGTTTCGTAAATTATCATTCAGCTTCAAATTGTTCATACTTTTCGAACAGCATAGTTCATAATTCACATGATTTGTGGCACCATTTATTTTCTTAAATCATCCATCCCTTTCACATTCATGTTTATATTGTTCAATTTGTGCTTTGCTGAATTATTTGTTTGCAGGGTACGCCTGAGTAAGCGCAGACAGAAGATTGGCCAACCACCAAACAACACACGTCTAGTAGTAAAACACAGACCACTCAACGCACAGGAGTTCCGCATGCAGCGGTATAGAGAACGTCAGTTGGAACCACCAGGAGAAGAAGAAGAGGAGGATGAGGAAGATGAAGAACAACAAACTCAAGACGATGCTGGTGACCAGGAAACTGTGGTCACCAATGACCAAGATGATGCTAACAAATCAGGTCAGTCTTTAGTTTGAGGCTGCAGTTTGGTTCTCCACACTTTTGCCGTGAGGCTTGTAGAGATAGTTACTAGTGTGCATGTTCCAGAGATTATGAATGAAGACTTGGAAAGGAGGAGACACGCTGTTAGCAATTGATGAAGTTACTAAGGAATAAGAAAATACTTGGACAAAAGATGGCTGACAAATTTTGTACACAATATATGATAAATAGTTTGCTCCAAAAAATGATTAGGTCTACTATATAAGGTGGTACTCTTACAAAGAACAGGTACATACTCCGCAACTTTGCCTTTTCCAGTGTGGGAGATTCTGCATGCAAAAAAGTTTAAAAAGTGAGGTGGAAGAAATTTTTAAATATGTGTACAGATGGGTCCCAATTGCATGTCAGCTTCTATCAGTGGTATGATTGGAATTGTCTGCTTCCTTACAAACACAGGAGATAGTACAAATTATGTAATACAATATCCTGGAGACTCAGGAAATGGACAAAAGAACCCTCACGATATTCAGCCACAAGATTTGACGCTGTTACTTGAAGGCATCAGGCAGCACTTTCATTGTGATTGATTTATTTCAGATGAAGAAAGGGATGAGGAGGCTGAAGCCACTGCTGAGGGGGACAAAGAAGAGGAGGAGGAACAGAGGAGTGGCAGTGACAAGGCAGACAGTGACCATGAAGAGGAAGCAGAGAAAAGTGAGACTAGTGCAAAGGAGGGGAGTGATGGAGGTTTGTTCTGTTCTGTAATAATTTGGACATATACAGTGAAACCTCTATCCATCGGTCCCGGAACTATCGTTTTCCCGGATGCATCGTCCGTTTTGTTCGGTCCCGAATACATCCCATATAAAATAATGTTACATTTTCCCGCTTCTATCGTTCCTCGAACTATCGTTTTATCGCATCAAAAATCTTAGTCCCGGCCCACAATGTTCCCGCAATGATCGTTTCTGAGAAATTAAAATGCTGGGTTTTGAGATAAATTAATACCGAAAGACGCACAATGTTTTTGGAATACACAGTAGTGGTAACCTGTTATGTCGCCCAACCAGCACATTCTTTTGGAATGAGGGTCAGTGGTGCAGGGGTGATAGTTGGAGTGAA